TATACTCATTAAGGTCGTGAAAGTTGAATTGACAATACAAGATGATGACCTATTAAGGTCACTCGATACGTCCGTCTATATAAACCTATTGAAGTACCCTAACACACTTGACATATCATTATACTGAAGCTTATTGAGGTTGCTTAACATAACATCATACATTATAATAACCTAAGTCATTTGACATAACAACATTGATTGATAATATTATTTATTTGATTGATTTGCACGTATTATTCATTGAGAACATTTGACATGATTTGTTATTTATTACTAATGCTATTAAAATTCTTACTAAGACTTGAATGTCAAGCAAAGAAGCAAAAAGAATGAATAGACACTAAAAATCGAGGATGAAGTCGTAATAAGGTTATCCAAGTTAAAGATAGTTGAGTTGACTAAAAGACAATAAAGTCATTTAAATCAATTAAAAAATAAAAAACCATTTAAGCTAAAGTGACAAGAAAAGTTACAAATATTTATGAATGTTGCAATTATTTGTGAACGTTGCAGTTATTTGCATTATTGCGTTATTTTTTTCACTTATGATTCTTCATTATTCATCATGTTTTATAATAATTTTGTCAACCAACTTTTGTTTTACAACCTCGTCTTACTAACCAAAAGTGCATCAATAACATGTATATCCATACATTTATGTTTTGTGCATATCAACAATCCCTAAATATTAACGCATATATTATACAATAAATCACCAAATACATAAATCGCAAATTGTCACAAGAGTAATTACTTTGCATACAGTCATCTAAATAAAAGTATACACAGGAAACATAAACCAATTCTTCGTCCTTCACTTCTTTTTCAATATCAAAAGCATCACATCGACACCAGGGAATAACACGAGGACTTGACAAATGACATTCTAAAAACCCTTTTCATATGCATTAAGCAATTGTGTCTCACACGTGTGCAATTCTTGCTTAATCCTTCCACCTCCTTGACCTCGGCCAGCTTCACCTTCAGTTGGGCCTTCTCCATATTCGCTTCCTCCCATTGTCGCTTCTTGTGTGCCTCAATCTCCTTCAACTCCTTTTCTTCATTGAGAACACGATTAGACAACTAGACATATTGTTTTGCCTTCTCGAACAAATTTGTTGCATGATCATCAAGTTGAAGCTAAATGGTGGTCTTTTGTCATTCACCTTAGCACGACCATCATGAGCTTCGTTAACCACCCCTTTCCATTGATGACAAATTGCCATGATATGAGAAGCCATGACCTTGGATGAATCTAAATAGTCATAGGGACTAATTGCCTTCAATAAGTCTGGATCAAAAGGGGGTGGAAAGTTTGCACCCATTTTCACGTTAAGTAGACATCTTCACTACCAAAGCGAATTTCCCCTTGGAGCACTCGTAGACACATGGTCAACACAATCCAAAGGACCATCTCTATGCAGTGTCAACAAGTCTGTCGTACAAGGGACAATTGAAAGGGAAGCATCCGAGGGGATATCAAAGACGACCACTCGCTTGTGACAAAGAGACGAATTAGACACCTTTTTGGGCTCCTCCGACCTTGTAACCACTATGGGGTTAGGTATAACTGGAGTAGAAGCAACCTTGGCTTTCTTACAGGTCCTCTTAACTGGCTCCCAAACAAGAGTCAACGGACCCGCAAGTATTGACTTGGTTAAAGAGGCATTCACATTTAAAAGAGTAACACCTAGCTTGACACAAATATTCTTATAATTAAAAGAGTTCCCCATAATCTCCGAAACACAGAAGAGAAACGTTAGACATGCTTACAAGGCATAATAGTATCATCATAAAGACAAACATCTCACCATTAAATGGAAACACTTGATCTTTAACATAAATGATGGCCAAAAGATCTTTGTAACTTATAGGCCGAGACAATTCTTTTAATATATAAGTATGACACTACACTTCACTAAAAAAAAACGATTCTTAAATGATTGAGTGTATATAGTAAACAACCCACCATGATAGGAATCCTTGAGGGAAACTAAGCTGATGTCAAAGTCATACTTTAATTGATAAAAATACATAAAGATGTTTACAGAAGATGTCAATTGAAGGAAGAAACACAAAATTTGATTAGTCTTCAAAAAGGCTCAATTATTAAGATATAGTTGACTTGCATTGAAAGTCAGTGAAGGACAACAAAATTTATAGATCCTTAAACAAACATTCATACACAAAAGTAAAATCCTCACCATTAATCATCGGTCGAATGAAGAGCACGACTGAATTGTCATTAAATGAGCATAAGATGGCTAACATACATCAAATGTTTTACAGAAATCCTCTATGATAGAAATGGATGTATATGTGGACCTGTAATGGTGTACCTCATTTAATATCAATAGTACTCAGGGGTCAGGGATAAAAGTAAATCCTTATACCCCCATTAACATCTTCTACAATGGGTTTTTGCAATCCTTGACCCATTTTGACTTGCCTCCGGACAAAACAATAATGGAAACCACCACTGGAACAATCTCAAAGGTCACTTCCACCTTTTCAAAAACACTCACATCTTTGACACTATTAGAAGATGTGGTTCCAATAGAGCAAGCCTCTTTGGAAACCAAAGGAGACATTTGCTTTGAGGAATTAACAAAAATAAAAGTAGGCATTGTCAAAATGAAAGAGGAGGAGTAGCGAGGTACCTTTGTAAAAATGGCAATAAAAGAAGAATACGAACAAAGGGAAGGATACTCGATCGTGAAAGTTACAGAGAATGTGTGAAGGTAGTAGAGAAACGAGAGAATACAAATGAACCCGCACTCGAAAAGGCAACGAGATAAAAAAGAAAAAGCGCAGGGAGTAAAATTGTCTCTAATAATTACAAATTTCTCCTGATTAATGCACTATCATACTAAGAAAAAGTAATACAATGAGAACTTGATAAGAAAAGGCAAAACAACGCGAATATAAGTTCGTTTGTCTCTAGTAATATTACACCTACATACACCAATAAACTTTAAGCTTGGGGAGTTTGTGTATCTAATCAACCCTAAAACAATTTATGACTACAATTGTTGAGATACTTAGAGAAAATATCTCGATAGTATCCAAGTATACTGACAACATTTGAGATACTCAAATACCAGCTCATTTCAGAACACACAAAAATCATCCGAAATATATGGTATATGCCTAACAAATAGGGATGAAATATCCCATACATTTTGGACAATTATGGTAACACACTTCTATATAAATAAGTTTGATACCTCTTTTACTTCATTTAATCATATTCTTATACTCATTGTTTTTCCTCTTACTTACTTAAGCATCTTTAAACATCGTAGAATTTTTACAAGTATTTCTTTTGATTTTTACTGATTATCCAAAGAGGAAGGAGATTGAATATCTTCTTTAATCAAAATAACAACACATAATAATTAATAAATATTTTTTTGAATATTTATTAATTATAATATATAGTTAAATTATGATTAAAACTTGTATTCAATGATGTTCATGATATATATCAATATTTCATGTATGATAAATTATTAGGTTAATAATATATATAAAAGGAGATAATAAAACATTGTATCGTGGTATAAAAATGAAAAGAAAAAAACTTTATATATATATAAATAATATTATTATATATCTTTTTTTTTGAGATATAAAATATTTTTAATTTTTTATATTCTATTATTTTATATGCGCTCTTGAATTCTTGAGTGAAAAACAAATATAAATATAATATATTAATTATTTTAATGAAATATAAAAATATCTAAAAAGTATTAATAGAAATAATAATGATTAAAATGTACTAAAAAAACTTTGTTGTAGGTAAGAACGTGTTTGTTTTAGATTTTAATCATTTAAAGGATTATTTTGAAATTTTTATTATTAAAAAAGTATATAAGAGATTCTATTAAAGTTTAAAAAATATAAAAGTTCAAATTAATTTAATCCATAAAACGAATAAATTGATCGTTTAATCTAGACAAATAAATAATTTTTTTTGTTAATTTGATATTACAAATATATTTTCTTTTAAAGGCAAATCACTTATGATTTTAATTGCTTCACAAATGTGCAACTTTAATGTATATATAAAAAACATTTTTTATTTAGTTCTTCATTTTTAAAATATTAATTTTGAATATAATTAATATATTATTTAATTCTAATTAAATACATCAATATGTTCGTGAGTGATAATAAATATTAAACCTTGAGGATTTTTTTTTCCAAGATAGGGCGCATAATTTTATAGTATACTTAGATATCTTTAAAATATTTAGAAGAATAATGCAACACATTATTGAAAAAAGAAATAAGTAAACCTTGATATTATATCTTCTTATTAATATTCAACTAAATAATTTTAAAAACTATAAGATTAAATATATAATTAAATTTGTGTACATACACGAAAGTGAATGTAAGATTTTTTTTTTATAAAGAAATCATCTCAATTATATAAATATTTGAATTATATAAATATATGGTTACGGTTCAGAGTAAAAGGTAGTGTCTTGGCCCGCGGTGCAGGAAGAATAGTTGATAACTGAGAAGCTCCTTCTTTCCCTTTTCCCTTACCCTTAGTTTGAGAACCCTAATCTCGTCAACTCGTAGAATACCAGAGGTCTTCTCCTTCTTTCAATTTTCACAGGTAATTGCTTTGTTTCGATGTAACTCTCTTACTATGCCTTCTGCTTTATCGCTGTGGATCCCGATAACTAACATCACACCGTCACCCTACAACTGCTAACAACAAAATTGGGCGTAACAGATTAAATTCGTTAGGTATCAATCTCTTTAATTGGGATTATGTCAATTTGTAAAATCTTAATATCTGGAATTGCAATTTCATCTGCCCTTTGCTGTTACCTTAATATCTGGAATTGCAATTTCATCTGCCCTTTGCTGTTACCCACAAAACGTCGTTATAAATTTTTGGTTTTCTCCCCCCATTTTTTATTGCGTAATGGTATCTAGAAATTTCTTAAGTTGAGTTGCATTGAACCAATTTTACGGCCATGGTTTTTGGATCTTTAGGAAGCATGCTGACTAAAGTATAAGTAAATGAATGCCCTCTGTTGGACGTTGTTTTGAGAAACGTAGTTATATAGTACGCTTGTGGATTTATGATGGCATACCTAACTGTGAAATGTGTGTTGTAGTCCAAGGGGCTGCGACTTTTCTGGTTCTTTTTGACAGACTTAGGGTTATTGTCTGAAATGGCATCGGTATCTAGTCAGCCGCAGTTCCGTTACACTCAGCCACCGTCAAAGGTGCTTCATTTGAGAAACTTGCCATGGGAGTGCACAGAGGAGGAACTGATTGAACTTGGGAAGCCGTTTGGAAAAGTTGTGAACACGAAATGCAATGTCGGGGCAAATAGAAATCAAGCCTTTATTGAATTTGTGAGTGTATTTTGTTTTCCATTCTTTTCCCTCTCTATCTTGCTTTTCTCTCTATTAAATTGCTGATTGTTGGTTAAAAATATGTTCCTGCAGGCAGATTTAAATCAGGCCATTGCAATGATATCATACTATGCCTCATCATCAGAGCCTGCTCAAGTACGAGGGAAAACTGTATACCTACAATATTCAAATAGGCAAGAAATAGTGAATAATAAAACGGCTGCGGATGTTCCTGGGAATGTATTGTTGGTAACGATTGAGGGTGCAGATGCACGTCTTGTCAGCATTGATGTCTTGCATTTGGTAAGCGATTGCATGTGTATTAGTTATATGCTAACACTGTAATCAAGAGGATGCTGGTCATTTAGTTTTATGATTAGGTTTTTCTTTGTCAGGCTATGGAAAAATTGTTGACATGTATGTGAATGAATCAGCAGGCCCATGACAAGGCAATATCTTCAATGGCAGCTTAGTGCTTTGGGAGAAATAGCGCTTGTGTGTTTGTCTCCTTTCTCCTTCCCTTAACACTACCTCTTTCTTCCTTATTCCCCCTCAACTCCTGCCATTCTTGTAGTTTAGGATATTTCCATTACTGTGCATCTGTGCTTTATTGACTCGTCATTTGCATAGCCATTTAGATTTAGCCACCGATTCTGTGCTGTTCAGTTATTTTCTGTGTTCCAACTATTGTTTGGTTGTGCTTTACAAGTCATATCTGAAAGTACACCAAAATTTTCCTTCTAAACTTGGCAACTGAATGCTGAGTTTTCACGAAATTTATGGTTAAGGAGGCAATTTACTTCTCAAATCCTTTATTTTGAGTCAATTATTCTAGTAGCAAAGTGAATGATACCATTAACTTAAGTTCTTTAAAGTATTATTGCAATTATACATTCTAGGTGATGATTCATATAAGACAACTGTGATCTGAATTGAACCACTTGGCTAAACTATTCCTCGATTTTCTGCAGTTAATACCAGAACTTTAATGAGAAATGTCTGGCAATTGTTTAGATAGTTTCTTGATGTGTAATTTGTCTTGATTTTTACTTAACAGTGTTTTAGCTCTTCTGACACAAGCATAACTATTAAAAGCATTGTTCTTTATAGCTTTTCAAGAAATATATTGATTTGCTTAGAGCTTTAAACTTGCTTATTGTTATTTAACTCCTGTAATGGTTTTGTCTGTTAATCCTGCAAATATTTTAGTTGAATGACACATTTCCACTTCTAGATGCTGAACTTCTAGTTTGTGTTCCATTATTAAGATTCACTCAAGCAATATCATCCTAAAAGTTTATTATTCACTTGTGCAGGTTTTTTCAGCCTTTGGATTTGTGCATAAGATTACTACCTTTGAGAAGACAGCAGGATTTCAGGTTTTATGATAGGCCACCCTTATCTGTTGTCCCCTTTTTTATATCCTATGAGCACAAGATAATTCCTTTGTACATCTGTCACTGTCCAGGCACTTGTGCAATTCTCAGATGCAGAGACTGCCACCTCTGCGAAGGATGCTTTGGATGGAAGAAGCATACCTAGGTAAAATTGTATTATTTGTATGTGTAGGTATTTAGTTCAACTGTTGCGGATCAAGTGGCAGTAGGTGGTGCATTTGTTCTCTCAGATTGTTGAGCAATCAACTGTTGGTCTATTTTATATATTTACACTTTGACAATTCTTTTTGTATTTAACTTGTTATAGAGTTTATAGACTCTGGTTTTGCACTTGTTCGTAAATTTATGGATCATTGAATGTGTGAAATTGGTTGGCAACGGGGCTACATAATGTCATTGTGCCAAATGAACTGATCTTGAAAATAAAAAAGTGCCGAGTTGAACTGCAAATTAATAGTTATTAGAACAATAATTAGGTCTTAGTATTTCCCAACGTGGGTTATATCTGTTTATTGATCAGTAACCTTGCCCTGGTATCAGGTATTTGCTTCCTGAGAATATGGGACCATGTACCCTTAGGATCACATATTCTGGTCATTCAGATTTAAGTGTGAAGTTTCAAAGTCACAGGAGCAGGTATTGCTGGCTTGAAGGGCCCCAAGTTTTGCAGCATTTCTTTTAGTCACCAATGTTCTTACCTGTTGGTTTTTGGTTTTTGGTTTAGTTGCCTTTCGCTTTCTGTGATAATAAATTTTCAATTTTTAATTGATTATTTTTCTTTATCCAGAGACTATACTAATCCCTACCTTCCTGTTGCTCCATCAGCTGTGGAGGGAAGTGGACAGGTATTGTTTTTGATAGTCAACATTTCTATGTTTTGAAGGAGTAACAATATGATATCTCTTATCTTACAACCTGTTTTTATATTCAATTGAAGACTTCCAAGGTGCCTGTTTTAAATTGAATGTTTATGCTTTGTGCATTAATTAGGTGTGTTGCACCTTCTGCCAAGCTGACTTGCTTAAGGATTTTGTTTCTCTCTTAAATATTCAGTTATATTTTGTGCAGGCTATGGTTGGTTTGGATGGGAAAAGACTAGAGACCGAGAGTAATGTTCTTCTTGCATCTATTGAGAACATGCAATATGCTGTAACATTGGATGTCTTACACATGGTACTTTGAATTATGACCTGCATTTTTCTAATTATTAATAGACAATACGGTTTAGTTAATAATATCACACACACCATTATTTATTTATCTACTAATTTTTGTTTACAGGTTTTCTCTGCTTTTGGACCTGTCCAAAAAATTGCAATGTTTGATAAGAATGGTGGTTTGCAGGCTCTGATTCAATATCCAGGTTTGTTTCTTTGGAAATTTTACCTCGTTAATATAGTGTTGTCAAAATTGTTATTAAGATTGTAGAATCACAATCTTCTTGTACATGGAGTGGGATTGGAGTGAAATCACCAGTCTTACTTGCAGGATTGAAGAATCTGTGATTGGGTCACATGTTGGGTTGTGTAACCTGAAGACCAAAAGATCCCTGTTTTCTGCAAGCCTTTAAAGCCTAATCTAACATGATACCAATCAAAATCAATTAGCAATCTTGTTCGATTCATCTCTCTTGGTTGTTCTTGGTTCTCATCTTGAACTCACTTTTCTGTTATCTGTGTCAATAGTTTGTACTTTGGGGCATCTTTGTTCTTTGGTCTATGATGGTGTGCCGGAGTGTCTCTTCTCTTTCTGGTCTATTAAAGTTCTATTAAGCCTGACTGAAGAACTGCTAAAGAAGCTCTTTTATTTATTTATTTATTCAGGGTACAGCCCATGAATTTTACTTTTTTGGGCCTTCATCTGGAATACAGTATATCTGGACTGATTTTCTTGATTTTTTACTACCTTGATTATTTTGATATTGAATACTTCTAGCTACACTTTCTTGTTCTCCCAAGGGTTAAGGATCTGTTGCTGGGTTTCTGGTAATCTCCTCAGCAGGGAACACATGCTTATCTTTGATAGGTTTAACAATGATAATTGAAATATGCTATAATATGCAATTATTGTCATTGTGGACAACTTAAACTTTTATTGATAGTTTACCTTGTTTTATTTTATACTGCCAATATAAGCTTGGGAGTGTCACATGTTATGATTTACAGATACTCAGACAGCTGTTGTAGCCAAGGAAGCCTTGGAAGGCCATTGCATATATGATGGAGGTTTTTGCAAGCTTCACATTTCATACTCACGACATACTGATCTTAGTATAAAGGTAAATTGCCAACACTATCTCTATCTGTATATCGAGGATTCGTTGACGTTCATTTGAATAAATGATTGAAAACTGTGAATTGAAGATGCTTCGTATCAAAATGAAATGCCAGTGTTCAGTTGTTATACAAGCAAACAAAGCTCATTTTAATTCATGGATGTGCATGGTTGACCCTTGATTTTTTTTTTTTATTCTTGAGAAAGGAGGATGTTTGTTTTTTATAATGCACGGAAAATCCTGCTATTGGAGCTTGACAAATTTTTCCTAGCTATCATCTTCTTCCATCACACATTCCTCTTGGAACCTATGGACTGCCTTAATTACAGAAATGCTATTTAAGGATCCTGTATCATAATTTTAGATTTGCTGTGCAGTGTTGGTTTTTTCTTTTCATTATTTTGATGGGTGGTACTTTAGTGGTACTAAATACCAAATTCATTTTTCAAACTTTTGTAGTTTTGGTCATTCACGAGCTTACTTTTCTATCATGACAGTTTGATTTTAGTTCGATATACTATGTGTAATTACAGGTCAATAATGATAGGAGCAGAGACTATACTATTCCTAATTCGCCCGTTGTGAACGCCCAACCCTCTATTTTAGGGCAACAATCTGTTCCCATGATGGGCCCTCCTGGCCAACCGTACAATGGGTCTCAGGCTGGATGGGGGACAGGTCCACCAGCAGTGGTTCAGTCTATGCCAATGCAGATGCACAATAATGTTTATATGCCACCTGGAAGTATGCCACAACAAATGGCCCCTGGAATGCAATTTCCAAGTCATAACGCACCACAACCTACAACATCATTGCCCGCATATGGATCTGATCGTGCTCAATAGCTAGCATGAATCTCCTCGCGTCTAAAATAGATCTACATTGGTTAGCAAAAGTCAAGCCGGCTTCTGCAAGAAAATGAGGACTGTCATTTAAATTAGGGTTCCCATCCGGTGACACCGATCTCCATTTGTTAACACAGTTATTCTGAACCTCAAATGGGCCACTTCCCTATCTTTCCCTTATTTTTCAGATGTTGAATATTGAATATGAAAGTCTGTAAGCAATTGGTCAACAACTTTTGAATATCTTAGTTTGAAACAATCTTCTGTTTTAATTGATCTGTGTTTGAGAATGCTATTAGAAAAAGTAATCCCGTATAAACAATTCTGTTCTGCGTGGATGACAATTCAATATTCCGTGATAATTTACCAAGCATCTTAGCTTTGGTTTATATCTAAACAAAAACTACCCTGGTTTACCAGCATCTTATGCGGGTTAGTTTCTATTATTCAGAATTGTTGGGGATGGAGTGAGCAAAATAGACGATTTGGTTAGATAATGCATGTTGATCTGATCTATTCTCAATTTTAAATGGGTAAAAAAATTAGTTTGATGAAGTCTTATGTCGGATGGTTTTTGTCATAAACTAAATGGTTTGGTCAAAATTGTCAGAACTTTAATGGATAAATAAAAGTTTGGCTTTGTTTAATCTTACATCGGATGGTTTGGTCAAAATCATCTGTTTCAATTTAGGTAATTGTTTTTTTATACTGACTTAGTCTATTTTTTAAGGATTATTTTGGTTGCTTTATTGGATTCGTTTAGATGAGGATTGTTTCTTTGTTTAGTTTTAGGTACCTGGACCAAACTTGAGAGAATCACAATTTGTGGTTTTGCTTATCATATTAATCCAACATGTTGATTTTGGATTTGAGACGTCGCATATGACACTCTGTAATAATGCTTTTAACGTTAAGATATGCACTCTGCTTAGTTCGATCCGGTCTACTAATTGTGCTGCGTGGATTAAGTTTATATTTTTAAATAGGTATTTAAAAAAATCAATTCGGTTTTATATTAAATTGAAAAATATTTTTAGCTGATTAAAAAAAAAGAAATATAAATAAAAATTTAATTTTAAATAAAATAAAATATATAATTTACAATTTAAATTATTTTAACAAATTTAATTATAAATATAATAATTTATATATAAAATAATATATATATATATATATATATATATTTGTGTTTTTTAATAAAATAATATTTTAAAAATATTATTATTATTATTTTAAAATAAATCAACTCGTAAGTCACGGTAGACTTAAGTCGGTTTATATCATGAGTTAAATATATTGGACTAAAAAGTGTTCAGTTTAATTTATGTTACATTTTTTGTGTTTTGACATGGTTCCCTTTTTGAGTTGATCATTGAATCAGTTTATTTTTTATATCTTTTTGGAGTAAGAAATATCTAATTATGTCATCCATGAGCAAGGAATTTTATCGGTTGACCATCGTTGATATTAAGAACAATTTTAATGTCCTACTTGACTTTGAAGTATGAGTTACAGATTCAATGAACTGAGTTAAGGAGGTATTCAGTGAGAAATCATGCTTGATGATGGTAAGAAGTTGAATGTCATATAACTTTTGTTTAAATTCAAGAAGAAGGAAAAGAAATAAAGTAAAAAGATGAGTGAAATTTATTAAATAATTTGATTGATTTAAAAAATATAAAGAAGTCAAATAATTTAAACAATTATAAAAATGTTCTTGATTAAAAAATTAAATGGTTAAACATAAATGAATATAATTAATATTTATTGTTTGACATATAAAGTAAAAAAAATTCTTAAATTATAATCAAAATAAGTGTAAAAACTATCAGAATAAAGTGAGATGTTTTTATGCTTGATTGAAAAGAAGAGAGAAAGTGGAAATTGTTATAATGACATTCGTGTTAAATCTCATCTTCAACCCCCCAAAAATCTAAGCTAAGGGGTCATCATTCTTTTCTCAATAATTCCTCCAAATCAATTGAATCAAACCACATAATCTTATCTTATAGTTATTTGACAATGCTGTAATGTTGAAAGAGAATAGAGTAAAAAGGTGATAATTTCTTTTTATTGTTTAAAAATAAAAATAAAAATTTTATTATAGTTTCTAAATTTGAGTTACAAGTTATTAAGTTGTTTGAATAAATAAGGCTGATTATATTTTAAACAATTTAACTGTAAAACTTATAATATAATATTTAATTTTATTCTTACTTATTTTAAACATTTATTCTTATAAGTTCTTCTCTTTCTTTAGATTTATTTACAGTGAAGTTTTCTTTAGTATGTAAAAATTGAACACATGGGTTTACAATAACTCATATATACTATGTAATCAATCTGAGTTAGATATCCTTAGTGTTTGTAAAGGAATTTGAAAAAGAGAAAGATCACATAAGGAGATAATACATATAAACCTTCAAACCTCATTCTTTTTGTCATGGAGTTATGTGGACGATGAAGAATACAATTATAATCAAGCATATATAAATTAGATTGTATATCATTTATTCTTTTAATAGTTTATAAACAAAAAATATATACAACTGAATTTTTATATTTTTTAAATATTTAATAAGTTATTTTATTATATGATTTAGAAATATAATTATATGAACAAAAATTTAATATAGGTTATCAAATTTTATTTTTATTATTGTTGTTCAACGAGAATCGAAAATTTCACAATATTTAAATTAAAGTCTGATTTTACATATTGGTGAAATGCAATTCTAATTCTAACAAGAGAAAAACCCAAACACCACACAAAGTATACTAAGACACAATGATTGGGCATTATCCTGAAATAAAAGCTTGATAAGGTTTAAAATCGGAAGTCGTTGTCCATGGCGGCACCAGTTTCAATCAACAGATAAGGTACTCTCAAACTTCACACAATCCATTCCTTTTCTCTCTCATATTTCCTTGAGGAGGAAGAAGAAGAAGTAGAAGAAGGAGAAGAATTATGGCCACACTTCAAGCGTCACTTCTTATTCTCTGCAGAACTTCCCTTCCATTCATCTCTCACAACCAACGCTACCATCCTCTTCTCTGCAAGCTCCCTCACTCTCTCACCTCCCTCTCTCCTTGCAAGCTCTCTCCGCCTCAATTTCTCCCACGCCTTCCCTCTTCCCACTCTTGCCGCGTCGCTTCCCAACCCAATCCATCCGCCGCCGATTCTAGTTTTCTCCCAAGGGAAACGACTCCGAATTCGACCAGTGTCGTCGACGGCGAGAGCTCCGATTCATCGATCGGAACTGAAATGAGCGAGGGTGCCAAAGAGAATGAGAGGCTGCCGATTGTGGCGCTTTTCGAGGGAGCGAGAGAGAGCTGCGAAAATGCTTTCGCCGAGTTCATGAACTGGTTGCCGCTTTGGCAACAGGAACGGCGTTTGGCTAGGTTAATTATTGACGCCGAGGCGAATCCCAATGATGTCGCCAAACAAACCGCACTACTTGTTGAACTTAATAAGCACAGGTTTGGATTGAATTGCATTGCAAAGTGATGAAATTGAGATGCTGTTCCTATCAAAATTGGTGTTTCAGTTTATTTAACAGAAATTCGCACCAAAAGTCATAATAAATCATATAAAACTCAAATAATGAATAAATCTGAACTCAACCGAGCAACAGTATTTAAGTTTTGTCCTTTCAGGAAATACAAAGAAGTAAATTTAAAACAAGCACCAATTCGGTAAAATAAAAATGAGAGTATAGCTGAAACAAGACGATGAAGAATGAAGTAAGCCAGTGGAATATTTTTGTTTTCATTTTTTGTAGGGATGAATGATTTCAAAATTTCTGTTACTTTTTGTTTTTTTACCAGTCCCGAGTCTGTCATCAAGCACTTTGAAGGAAGGGAGGGTGCTGTAGACAGTAGAGGAGTTGTAGAGTATCTTCGAGCTCTTGTGGTCACTAATGCTATTGCTGAATATCTTCCAAATGAGGAATCTGGGAAACCCTCTAGACTTCCTACCCTGGTAGTCACTTTGTCTAATTCTTTTTTTCAATTTTTTGGTCTGTGTTGATCAGTTTTTGGTGAATCATTTTTCATATGCCGTTGATGTGCTAGAAAATTTTGTTTTGGATTGATTATATGCTCTTGTCCTCTGAGTATCTATTACTGTCGTTGTGTCCCGTGATCTCAATTTGACACCAGTGGTTTGTCGGATACCTCTAAATTTTACCTATGAGAGAGTTTTAAAGCACTGTTTCTCCCATATGTATTTCTAGCTATATGATTTGATTTGCCTTATCCCTTCAAATCTATGATATGTAGAACGAATGAGCCGAAAAGCCGGTTCTTCTCATCTGTTTCTTTTTATACTCATTTATTTTGATTTTCTGCAAGTTATTCTTGTTTTATCACAATTTCCATGTTCTGCGTCTATTCTTTTTGTCATGATAAACTTTGTTTTCACCTTCGTACAGTTTCGTTTGACATCTTTTATTTCATAATTCCTTGCGTTGGATGTATCATGGTGCAACTGATACGAAATAATTTTTTCTTTTTCAGTTGCAAGAGTTGAAACAGCGAGCATCAGGTAAATCAGATGAGCCTATTCTTAGCCCTGGATCATCTGAGAGGCAGCCATTACATGTTGTTATGGTAACAATTATTGCAAAAAAGAATGTTCCTTTTGATTCATGGTTTTTAACAATTAGCATTTTAACTCCAGATTATTTTTTGTTTGTTTGTTTTGGGAATCTCACGAATTCTGTTTCCTTCTTTAGGTTGATCCCAAAGTATCACAAAAGTCACGCTTTGTACAAGATGTTTTATCAACTATTTTGTTTATTGTTGTTATGGGACTGGTCTGGTATGAGCCTTTAATTCTCACTCTCGTTCTCTTCTCTATATCCTATCTGAAAGTTTCATTTATTGTCATATAAAATATGTGTCTTTCAGGGTTATGGGTATGGTTGCACTTCAAAAGTTCATAGTAAGCTTGGGTGGGATTGGAACTTCAAGTGTTGGCTCAAGTACTACTTACACCC